GAAAAATAAAGTATGAAGCGCATAAAGTAAGTTGCAAGGGAACCAGCAATGCACCACGACGTTTGCAACAGCAACGATTCTTTCTCTTCATGCTCAAGTGGTATACGATCAATTTTTACGACGTCAGTTTATGTACCATAAAATAAAATCGAAGGATACGCTGCAGATACAACGCCGTAATACAAGAGCGCATTCTCTGATTTTATATTTGGGAAATTTTCGCAAAAATATTATTCAACTCGACGTAAACAAATGGAAAATTTTTGCCGGTTTAAATAATCGAAAATATCGATACTATAATTTGTTTAGTACCCCGAGATAATAATTTGAAATTTAAGGGTCAGGAATATTACTAATACCGAAATTATGACTTCTCTAGTGAATTCCCCTAGATCCCGAATCCAATCTCATATTTCACATAACTCCAGGTAATGTGTATATAACTAGTGAACCCTTCGTATAGATAAATAAAGCAATAGATGTAAGAATGAAATGGAACATGAAATATGAAACGAAAAAATAAGAAAAATAAATATATTAAATAATAATATTGTATATTATTTGTTGATAATAATATGTTAAATGAAATATATCAAATTTATATATAAGATTTCATATTTGTAAATTACGTGGCATATATATAAAAGATTTCTATCCCAAGATTATGGCAGTTGAGATTTTCTAACTTACAATTAGATAATTATGTGTGTATGAATTATTTGAAAATTGTATTAAGGAAGAAATTTAGGTTATGATCCGCCAACTAACTATACACTGAGAAATATATATATATATCAATACTTAAAGTTACTTTCTAATAATTAATTAAATCAAGTATATTAAATACAAAAATAAATATTCTTGCTAATTTATAGTATTCAATCATATACTCAACTATAGCAAAAATTATTTCGGTGAATTGTTTGTCTGACATTCTCAAAAATTGTTGGAATCCTTGATGCATTATATGTTTTCATAGATTCCTCGAGATATGACTGACAGAAAGAAAACAGTGGAACTCATTAAGAAAATACTTGT